ACAAATAATCACAATTTTTAGAAAAGGAAATCAAATAAATTTTCAAAGAAAACTTAGAAAAGGAAGCAATGTTTAAAGCTCTAATTCAATTGAAATATAAACTTCCTATTATTAATATTAATCAAGGAGTGATAATTTCTTTCATGGCATCTATATTCCAAATCAGCTCATCCATCCCTTTCTTCTTCTTCTTCTTATTTTTTTTTTTTTTGTCTAAAAAACAAAACTCAAATTTGAGCTGTTGGATGGCTTCTCATCGGATACTTCTAACTAATCGGGCATATAAAATCAAAGAGATTAAAAAAAAAAAGAAGGACAAATAACGAAACATTTTTCGCGAAAAGGCAACATGGTCCTTGGTAGACAAGTGCTCCAGCGTGTGTTTGATAACCTGAAACATGACCTACAATATTAAAATGCAAGAACCAACGTTATCCGTTGGATATGTAAATTCCGGGAACTCCGTGGCCTCAACTGACGGCACGACATACTCCCTCAAATCATTGTCGCAAAAAACAGGGGCTCGTCGTCGTTGTTTATGGCAAATTACGTAAATAAACAGCCATCTAGATGTCAATTCGCGATGACTGACAGAGTTACTGACTCGCTTCATTAAAGCCATTTTCCCTGTCGTTTCACTCGCCCTCACTCCTTCGTTGGACATCACGCTTCCACGCATATCACGTTTATTCGATTTTTTTTTTTTTTTAATTATTTGAACTCCTGGACCAATGGGATTATGCCATGTTTTCCGAAATTGGATTGGTTGTTTCTTTCTGAATAAATCATTGCCTGCGCCCCGTTTGGATTACAGATTTACAGTGTTCAATTAGCCCCTGACCGTCAACCGTTTAAAATAAAATTTGTTGTTTAAAGTTTTTGAAAGAAATAGCTTTGATGACGGCATTAGGATTGAAAAGCTTAAATTTTCTTTAATTATTATCACCGGTTCCGGTTGGGTACAGGTGTTAGTTGTGATGAATCCACTTTTTTTCTCCTACCCACTTATTATTTCTTCTCTTAAAACTATTTTTTAATTCCATCAAATAATTATCATAAATTTAATAAGAGAAATTATTAAATATATTATCAGTATAATTTTTAAATTTTACAAATAAATTAATAAAGTGATATATATTTTTTGGAAATAAAAAATTAATTAAAAAAAGATATGCATTATTATGTTAACTTTATGAAGTTAAAAAAATTTTATTGATAATATATCAAATAATTTTTATTTAATTCAAAGTTAGCTTTTGTACTCTGATAATAATATTTTTAATTTTATAAATAAAATAAAAAATTTATCACATATTTTAATTAATTTTATTAAAAATATTTTAAGAAATATATGTCACCATAATCAACTCTAATTTTTTTAATTAATAACAAACCCCATTGATTTGTTTAATATCTTCATAATTTTTTAAAAGTGTTACTAAATGCATAAACACGTATTTTTATCCATATACCAATTTAAAAAATAAAGAAAAAAAATTAAAATAAAATCTTTAAATTGGTAAATATATATATCTATTATTGAATAAAAATTAATTATGTAATTGTGGTACTTCAAAGCCAAATGTTAATATAGGAAAATCTTTTAATGCGATTTTGATGAAAATTTTTATTAATAACTTCCAATCCCAAAACCAAGTAGGATAATTGATTATCCCTATATTAAAATATCATCACATAGTTTTTTTTTTCAAGTAAATTAATCACAAATTCATACATATTCAATGCCTCGTGTATTATATGAGACTTAACCGCCATAAACTTAAGCAATGTGTGACATTAAACATGAACCTACATGTTCTTCGAATCTAAATAGTTAGGTTTTTTGGTTAATTTCTTTAAAACTTCTTTTTTTTTCTTCTTTTTTTTCTAAATTGAATATTCACCTTTTATTTTTTTTATAGATGCTTTAAAATTATTTTATCTTACATTTGTTAACCATTTCAAAGTCATATATATATATATATATCACATTTTTACTTTTTTACTTTTTTATATTAAACTCTATTAAAAGTAAATATTTCATAAAAAATTTAAAACAAAATTTTAAGTTAATGTTTTTTAAATTATACATCAAATCAATTATATTTTATAAAAATTATATAATTAAAAATATAAAAATAAAATATTCAAATTAATTAATTTATATAATTATTTTTAAAAAATTTAAAATTTAAAATTCAAATCTTAATTTTTTCTGTCTACTTTTTTATTTATCGAATCAAATATCAATTGCATGGATACAATAAATAGCTCAACGTTGGCATAATAATGATTAGGGTATTTTAATAATAACACATAGCTTAGCTAAGGAGTTGGAAAATGAGGATAATGTTGCTATTTGTCGTAAGAAATCCGTTGTTGAAGGATAGAGAAATTAGGATCTTCATCAAATCAAAGAGAAAAAACCAATCAATATTTCGTTGTCTTAAAGTACATCAACCCCACAAACAAAACTTAGATTGTTATTTCCTGCAAGCCACAACCGATAAGAGAGTACACACAAAAACAAAACCTGATTTCACAAGTAAACACAGAGACCTACAAAATCCATCCCTTCACATCATTCTTCGTTACCAAAGTTAGGGCCCGATAGGCTTTATCTACTCTAATTCGTAGCATTAAGGTTTTTGCTTATAGCCTTCTTTTTATTTATTTGTTTTTATAAATATTATCACTTTCTAAGGTCTCATTTGAAAAGATGATAAAAAAATTTATTAAATTAATATTTAGTTAAATTTTATAATAACATCTGTCATTTTTTTTTGTTTGAGAATTTTTTATGTCTCAAAATTATTTTAAGTTTTGATTAATTTGAAATCGAATTGAATCAAATCTCATAAGAATGATAAATTTTTTAAAATTTATTTTCTTTATTCACAATACTAAAAATAAAAATTTTACTTAAATAAAATCAAACTCTTTACTATTTAAATTAACAACGTTGATAATAACATTTGTCATTAAACAATAATAATTGGATCAAACACTTTTTTCTTTTTCCCTATCAAATGGGACATAAATTTCTTATATAGTATTATATAATGGGTTTAATATTAATTTCATCCCAAACTATATCACTTTATTTACGTTGGATCTAAAAAATTTTTACACGCTTTTAAGTACTTAAAATTAATTTCTTCATATAAGCTAATGGTCTTAGCTTCTTTTTTTTTTTTGGCACAATAGAAAATCCATATGATGCCATGTCATATATTTATCATACGTGAGCCCCACTACCATGTCATCAATAGAATTAATGTCATTTTTTTTAACCTTAAAAAGCTTTTTTCGCCCCCATATCTCCACATCATCTCCTCCACCGAACCCAAGAGACTAACGTCGGCGGAAACCTCTGCAACTATAAATCTACGGTTTCTTCAAATATTTTTGCTTAAGCATCATTTAAAAAAAAATGGCTGTTTCTATCTCGTTTAGACCGAACATGCTCCTCGTCCTATCTCCTTTCATTGACCGAACTGGGCCTTCCAATCTTCTTCTAAATCGAACTCAATTTCGGGTTTTCTACTGACGAACCATTTCTTCCTGACGCTTTATCGTCATCTCTATATGATTGCCGACGCTGCCGTTTCGTTTTCTGACACTATACTGATTTTCAGGAATAACCAATTCCATGGGAAGTACTTTAAAGGTAATTAAAAATATATATTTTTTGGGTTTTTTTTTTAAAGTTTTTGGTAATGAGTTAACGTTTGTTTGGATTGAATTGATTTAGGATTTAAAAAAATGGGTAATCGGGTTTGCGTGTTCCGTACGCTTATGGTTTTGCTACTATACTTCTAACTGTGCTTGTTAAGGCTGCTACATTTTTGTTGATCGAGAGGTGGAGGTTGATCTACTCTTTACCATTGAAAAAAGGAAAAAAAAAAAAAAAAAGAGAAGAAAAAGTTAAGAAGAGAAAGAAATAAATAAAAGAAAATTATATTGATTAAATTTAAAAAATAACTTAAAACCCACGTGTCTTTTTTTGTTTTCCTTAATTAATGACATGATTTTTAATGACACCTGACAGCTTTTAATTGGTCATAATTGTCATGTCATTTTTTTTTTACGGAATTCGGATTTGAGATAAAGTGAATGACGAAACTTAACTTCAAATATTAAATTAAAAATTTTAATTTTTCAGATATTAATGTAACATAAAGTATAAAATATATAAACCATTTTTATATTTATTTTACCCTTGTGTAATGATTTGTTCACCAAATTAAGTTCAATTCCAAATTATTGCCTATCTCAGTTCCCCAAATGTTAAGAAAACAGGGGATCCAACAAATTATGAAGTTTATACATATACATACATATATATATATATATCGGTGATGGATCATTTTTTTTTTTTTTTGAGATGTTCAATTATATATATAAAATTTGAGCTTATATAATTTTATATTATTATAATTATTCACAACGAATTTTAATATCTTAAAAAAATACATAATCATATCATTATTAATATTATCAAATACATCTGTTTTAATATATATAACTAAATAATTATTCAACAAAAAATAAAAAATTTTAAGAATGTCTTTGGGATTGTTAAGAAGAAAATGAACCTGTTAAATTTTTTTTTTTCAATTTTGGAGGTATTCATGAACATCTCACATCATCACTTCATTCGACTTTATTTATTTTTTGATATAAAGAAGATTACAATATAAAATAAAAATTTATAAATATTTACATTTAAAATTTATATTTATTAAATATAATATTAAAAAATAATTGTATACATTAATTAAGATAAATTATATATATATATATGAGTATGAGTGTGTGTATTTACTGAAAGGTGAAGTTTATACTTTAACCAAAGAAATAAATAATTGTGTATGATATGGTTAGAAAAAAAGAGTAGCTTTAGTTGTCACATGGAAATGGATTGTCATCACTTTACGTTTGACAAGGATGGTCATGAATTGAGTGTATTTGTAGTGTAGATAAGAAAACAGAAAAAGTAAAAATTTTCAGACGAGACCAACAATATTGTCTAGGCAAATTACGACATAAGTTGCGACGGTAAAACTTTCACTTTGTTTTAGAAACAAATCGAAAAGAAGAAAACTTTGTTGCTAGAATCATCAAATCAACGAACAGACCCCATTAAATCTAAGGGGGACGATTATAATCAGGGTTAAACAGTGACGTGGCTAAAAATTAAATGGATAATGAACTTATTGCACGTAGCTGGAACCTTCAATTCAAAAGTACGGAAAAGACAGTGGACTGCTCCATCCCTGACAACCCCCCACTTAAATTCCTCTTGGTTAAAATAAATAAAAAAAAGCAGGCGCGTGGAAAGCGCTTGGAAGTGGAACAGAGAAAGGGGGACCCACCACCCATGTGCCCTCCCTCCTGTCTCCACCAGCTCCTGCCGCTCAATGATTAGCACTCTGCTCCCTCCCCAAATCCCTCTCTCTTCTGTGTAAAAATTCTATTTCTGTTTCTTCTTTCATTGCAAAATTTTTGGTTCTGTCATTTGATCTTCAATAATAACTGGAAACAGCAGAGGCAATCTTTTTAGTTTGAAGCACAAAAAAAAAAAAAAAAGCTAAAGAAAGGGAATTTACAGTAAGAGTGTAGTAGTATATATTTTTTGTTTGATTTCTGCCCCATGTCAAATTCAGAGGGTGGAGCTACAAACGGAGCCGTAATGGACCCTCATAGACAACAAGCGCCAGGCAACGGTTCCCTCGTCGTCAAAAAACCTCCTTCCAAAGACCGTCACAGCAAAGTAGATGGTCGTGGCCGAAGAATCCGGATGCCAATCATTTGTGCAGCTCGTGTTTTCCAGTTGACCCGTGAGTTGGGTCATAAATCCGATGGTCAGACTATTGAGTGGCTGTTACGCCAAGCTGAACCTTCCATCATAGCCGCCACTGGTACGGGGACAACTCCCGCCAGCTTCTCGACCTTGTCGGTTTCCGTCCGCGGCGGGGCCAATTCTACTTCTTTATCGTCCACGACTTCTTCGTCTTTGGATCATAAGCCTCTACTGGGTCCAACCTCTTTTATACTCGGGAAACGTGTCAGGTCCGACGATGATAATCCCGGAAAGGACGATTCCGGAGGGGTCACTGTGGGACCAGGCATGGGGTCCATTGTGGGCCCCGCGGGGACACACACGGGTGGGTTCTGGGCTCTTCCAGCAAGGTCTGACTTTGGTCAAGTTTGGAGCTTCGCGCCCCCGCCTCCACCCGAGATGGTGATACAGACTGCGGCTCAACAACCAACTGCTGCTACGTTGTTCGTTCAGCAACAGCAAGCTATGGGAGAAGCGTCGGCGGCGAGGGTTGGGAATTATCTTCCTGGTCATCTCAATTTGTTAGCTTCATTATCGGGTGCTCCTGGGAGTTCGGATCGGAGAGACAATGATCCGCGTTGATTGGGTGGACCATTTTACCTTGTTGTTGTTGGGAGTATATATATTTATATGAATATAAGGATTCTATAAACGTTTGTGTCTGGTTGTTTTTGTGTGTGGGAGAGGATTTTTAGTTGGAATTTTAGGGTTAGGGAATTAGGGTTTTGAGGTGAAACAATTTGGGACTTTGCTGGCTGATGAATGTATTCAAATTAGCGTTTTTCCCTTTCCTTAGCACTTTTAATTGATGATAGGTAGGGTTTTAAAGCGGTCACAATTGTTTAGGATTATGAGGTTTATGACCACGTTGGAGGAGAGGGGAAGTCAAGAATTAGGACTTTGGTGACTGATATTTAGCGACTGGCCGTTTGCTGAGTTTGGGGACTTCCAGAATTGGGGATTTCTTTTGTGATTAATCAAGTTTGGTAATAATTTTTTTTTTTTTTGGAGAATATAGAGTGCTATTGCTCTTTTGATTTTGTGCAAGGAGTTGCTGATTTCTTTATGCTTTGAAGAAACCGTGCAGGTTTATCCCATGTTGACAAAAGGTTGCAAACGTGGATTTGAAGAATGCATTACTTCCGCATTCGCAAATTCTTCCATAATTCATGATATGTCAATGATGAACGCACAAAGTGGGTTGAATCTTAGTTGTCGATTGTGCTTTGGTTTACACATAATTGGGGTCCGAGTTGGTTAACCGAAATTGGGTGACCAAGATGCTAAAAACCCCAAGATTTGCTCTGGATGATACTATGCTTGGCTTGATGCTGTGGATTTATGGTCTCCCTAGATATGATGGAATTCCCTTTATTGCTAATGGTGTTTGAGAATTATTAGTTTCCCTTTATTGCTCATGATATGCCATGGACGCTCCCTCTCTCTTCTGCTTTCAGCATCTATGTTGATCACATGATCTCAAAGGAGACTGCAGTGTGAAAGATAAAGGCTCTGGTTCCTTTCTGTAAGACCTCTGTTTTGGAAAATTTTAGCTGTATTCTTAGCCATTTCTCAGATTTATCCGCGTGCAAATTAATAATGTGTTCATGTATGTAAGTGGATTGTTTTGGGTGTCTGTTGTGTGAATAAAAACCCATCTGTTTTTCTCAATTTTACTTTCTGTTGCTCATTCTTTCCTTTCTGCTCCATGTAAGAATGCATTTAGTTCTGCTACTATGTGTTTCATTTCTGTGTTTTATCTGTGTTTTACGGCACGGTGGAGGACTCTCACCATGCATCCAAATCAAGCCATATTCATTACAATACAAATTTTGGAACATTGGAAACTAGAATTGGTTATTTGATTCTGATGATAGGAAGTTCAGAACTTTAAAACTAGATATGATTCTGGCTTTTGTCCTTCGAAATTAGTTGGCATTAACTACTGCTACTCCATAATAACTTTCTCATGCTATTTATTGCTGCTCTGTGAAACATAATTGTATTTTCTCAGAACCAGGGACCAGCATTGCATATGCTTGAATAATAATTTCATGGTTCCTCTTCTTCTATGGTACTTGGAGGGGGTAGTAACAAACACTTCCAGCAGTCATCTTGTCGACCCAAAACTGGAAAAGTAAACTGCAGATGATACAAAGTTCTGTCGTGATGGGAAAGAAAATTCCTTATTGAGTGTCTGGATAATTGTACCATTTGTCAAGGTGCTGCTCAGGTAGGCATGTCAAGTAATTAATAGTAGTACAACTACAGATGAGCCTCAAGTCCTGCATCAAAGCATTTCATTGAGGCAATTGTAGAGTTTTTCGGTTCTCGAAAACTTACCCATCTTATGATTTGAAATGGATTGCTTGTCAAAAGAGCTAGGAAGATGTTGACTGCGTTGTGCTTTCTAAGGTAGATTGGCAAGGAATTTTGCGGTTTTAGGGAATAGAAGGGACAATTCAATCATGATAAACGTTATAAAAACAATATTTTAAAGTTTAATAAAAATAAAAACACAAATTGTGAAATCTATTTAGAAATAAAAATGGTAATGGAAAAGGGTTTCTCAAGCTTTGGCAGAAGAGGATAAAAACAAGTAGTGAAGGCAGCAAACCAACTAGAGTGAGATAGTAAGTACAAAAATCATTCATCATTTCACAAGCATTTGTGCCTTGTTCCATATTAATTATTGCAAATCAAAAGACTGGGGACCCAATAATTGATGGGAGGTCCCCTGGATTAAATGCCTTTGTTGAAAAAGTTGGGTAGTCACTCTGACGATGCCTGTACCGTCCCAATCTTAATTGCATAATTTAGATATAAGACAGGTGAATTTCCTTCCAACTGAAATTCAGCCCACAATTTCCTTTCATTCAAGGGCTTGGTCCATAGTAGATGGGGAAGCAACACCCTGACGGTCTCGTGGGCTCAATTTGGCAATTGAAGTAGAACACATGCAACAGCCAACAGCAACGCAAATAAATCATGGGGAGCCTCAAACTTCAGATTTGGGTGATTATTCCAAATTTTTAGATGTTTTTGTGCTCCTTTTAGGGGAGCATTTTTTCATTTAGGGCCCATAAACAGTTCAGAGCGACTGTGCTAATAACCGTACAATAATTGAGGAGGGTTAATGTTTATGAAAGATGTGAAGAATCTGAAAAATATATTAATTTGAGAAAGAGATATTAGACGTTTGTCTTTTAATACATAAAAATTTAAGATGAAGGGAAATTTATTCATTCCAAAATCATAAAAGATCGCAAGTTTCATTGGATTCACAAAATCATCTAATATAAATTGGACAATTGAATCGAAACTCAAATTTAAACCTTGTAAAAAATGTATTTAAAATTTATGATTCAATCACCCTGAGTTGATTTTAAAATTTATATTGGTTATACGTAATGGTGTCACTAGTCAAATATAGTAGCAGTGTTCCAATAATTTCGGGAAAAGGAAAAAAGGAAAATACACATGAAGTTCCCCCATGCAGGATCGAACAGCAGACCTTCAGTTTACAAGACTAACGCTCTACCATCGAGCTATAAGCCTGCTTCTGTTTTATTTACGAAGTTATATTACTCGATTGTTATTTGGAGAGAAAAGAAGGTTTTATTTTAGGGAGAGAGAGAGACGACCGGCAGAAAGGAAAGCAAAGAATGGCGTCGTCAAGAGGAGGACAACAAGTGATTAGAGGAGGGGACATGGAGAAGATGAGCTTGGAACAGCTCAAAGCAGTGAAAGAACAAGCAGATATTGAAGTCAATCTCTTACAAGACAGCCTTAACAACATCCGCACCGCCACCGCTCGCCTCGAGATCGCCTCCACCGCTCTCAATGACCTTTCCCTTCGCCCCCAAGGTCCATCCATCTACCGTCATCCGCCTTCTCTTTTCTCCTTTTTAGTAATAAAATATATTATAATATATCTTTTGATTTTTTGGGTTTTCTTAAAAATAGGGAAGAAAATGTTGGTTCCCCTTACTGCTTCGCTCTATGTTCACGGCACCCTCGACGATTCCGAAAAGGTTCTCGTTGATATTGGCACCGGATACTTCGTTGAGGTCTCTATTTTTTTGTTTATTGATTTGACAATTTTCCCTGATATTACTGCTTTGTTTAACTCTTGTCTTCCTGCTGTAGTATGATCTAATTTAACTTTGATTGTTTTATCTTGAAATTGTTTGCCAGAAAACGATGGCTGAAGGCAAAGATTATTGCGAGCGTAAGATCAACTTACTGAAATCCAATTTCGACCAACTTATTGAGGTACCCTTCTTCTTCAATAATTTTGATTGCCCTTTAACCCATCATCTTTAGGTGGAGAAGAAGTATATAAGTATAAGAAGTCTTATTATATCATGGTTAAAGTTGATGGGTACTTGTTAGGTGTTCCCTAGATTTGATTGCTTTAACAGCTTCTGAGATTAATATTGGTAAATCGAAAACCTCACTGTGGAGAAGGAAGGGTCACTCTATCTCCTGATTAGTCCTTTTTTGTATATACGCACGCCAATACGTCTTTGTAATTTCTCATTGTAGGATGATACTAATAAAAGTTCTCTTGGGGGTAAAGGAATAAATTTAACTAAAACTAAAAGACTTGAGCTTAGTTAATCAGTTTGATATGGATTTCCTTTTCACTTTGCTCGGCCAACTATTTTGAATGCTGGTGCTCTTGTTTTGGCAAACAAGATTAGGTTGCTGTTTCTTACTATTCACAACATGGTTTTGTTCTTTGAATATTTGTTGATTGTTAAGGATCTCCTTCCGATTATTAGTAATAAAACTGTGTAATTGAACATGTAGGTTGCATCTAAGAAGAAAACATTAGCAGATGAAGCTGGAGTAATTTTACAAACAAAATTGAAGCAGTTATCTCCTTCAAGTTAGGAATTCTGTGACCTCTGCAGTCTTTCATTATCATTAAGTTCTAAAGATTGTTGTAAAAGGACTCTTAGAACTTAGTTGCTGGTGATGTCAACTTTATCTTCTTAGTGATTTTGTTTTGAATGGAGATTAGGGACAATGATCTTCCCACCATTTTATGTTGACAAGAAATTCCATTCGTACTTTAAAGAGATTAATGTTCTTGTTTAGAGGTGCATACTTTTCTATTTCTAACAATTTGTACTTAATGAATTTCTGAATGCTTTGTGATGTTAAATGAGAAGTTATGTTGGTTGGATTGCTACACCATAGGCCTTTCCCACCTTTGTGCACTGTATCTTACTGAACTGATCATATTGATAGGTGATTTAGACCTGGAAGTTTGAAGCGATGGAGGTTACAAACCGACCCTGGCTTAATGGTTATATTACACCTTGTCACCTTGAGGCCGCAAAAACCGTTACAAATTTAGAGGGGCACATTATATTTTGTTTGATTTCCTTGTATCTGATTGATCTTTTTGGTTTCTAGTATTGTAGGAAAGAGAATCCATTTCAATATATGATTAAGTATGTTGGAAGAAGTTTGGGAGAGGTGTTTTATTCTTAATTACTAGTGATAACAGAAAATCTGGACTGAGAGAAGCATTCTCATCAGATTAATGCAAGTATGGAGCTCCTGTCAGAGGACGTGTTGGGAGGGTATTTTCTCTGAATCACTGATGATAACCTTGTCAACTTTAGAATGGAGGTTTGGGGCAGTATGGCACCATGATGAATACTGGTTGACTTGGGCCTCTGTGCTGCTGCTTGTGAAAAATGTGAGATGCTTGGTCCTGAAGACCTTGGTGTGAGTAGTGAAGACTTGGCTTCAGATATTGTTATTATTATAATCATAAAACCCCAAAATGGGGTCTGGCCATATGGATGCAGCAATACGGAAAACTGGTGTTTAAGCTAACTCGCTGCTTGCTAGTGATCTCTTCGGCCACAAGTAATAAGAAGCAATACTGAAAACTGGTGTTTCGGATGACTCTCTGCTTGCTGGTGATTGCTTTGGCCACAAGTAATATCATCCTTCATGATATAAGTAAACCTTCTCGGTCATTCACTCATTCTGACAATGTTAGGCATGACTACTAGGTTTCTCTACACTTTGTCCAAAGCTCCTCTAGGATAGTATTGTTTTTGAATTAGGAAGCTTTTCATATCGGTGCCTCAGGTTTAAAACTGTTAAGAATGCACGTTATAATGAATCTAAAAAATTAGAAAATTTTTTAATAATGGTGAATTTATTTAACACGGGAGCCGTGGATGATTAAGAAATATCATGAATTGTAGATATTTGTTTCTTGCCAAGCTCTGAACCGGAGGAAAGAAATGAAGTCCTATGAAGGCTTTTTCTAGTTAAGCAATCAGGATTCAGGAAAGCAAAAGTTCTGGACAAGGATTCGTGATGCTTCAATTGCTCTATGTCCCTGTTTCGGACATACTCTAATGATGGGAAGATAATATCATATCTTTTGGATCAATCATGCCGAGAATAAAAATTTTTCTTTTACAAAAGAAATCACGGCCTGAGTCCACTTCCACTTCCACCCAAATCACAATCTCCGGTGAACTCACCTTCATCCGATCCGAGTTACGACCTTCAAAGAATTCACTTACACTTGAGCTACAACCTTCGACGAACCCACAACCTCTAAAATCCCACCCCCAGTAAACCCACCACCTCCGAAAAAAAAAAAAACCCCACTTCTTTAAATTAAACACACACAAAACCCCGTTTTTTAAATTGAGAACAATGATAACGTGAAAAGAAACTACATGCCAATTCTCCACTGAATGTCTAGTCTTGACTGACTGAGATAGTACAGTACAACGGGGCATAAGGTCTTGCTCCATTTCAGTTGAGTTACTAGAACCGCACAGACAATTCATTCAAGATTATTGATGCGACATTATTCAGTTCAGAGTACAAAACAAAAGAAGGAAAAGCTAACACACAAAACTGGGAAGAGGATTCGTTCAGGAAGTTGTCGACAGTGGCATCGTGGCAATATACATTTGACCCAAATTGTCTGGTCTGCTCCAACTCTAGAGTGGTACGAGGTTTTCTCATGCCTTTCTCACGTGTCCAATTAGAAAGATGCAGCCATGACTACAACGGTAACGTTTTATTATGTTAAAGGTTGACAGAAAAAGAGGGCTTTGGCCTCTGCTCTGCTCTGCTCCGGTTCTCCTTCGTTCTCGTTGACCTTCTTCTCCAAAAGCAAAAACTGATGTGGTACCTATGTGTATTTTACCACAAACTGCTGGATTACAGGAAACCAGAATTTGAGTCTCTAGCTGATCTATTCGGAGCTTTTGGAGATAAACAGAGCCCGGATTTCCGTACCCAGAAGAGGCTTTTAGAATGGCGGATTCCTAAACACCACCAGTCTACCACCCTCACTCCCCTTTCCATTTCGTTAATTCACCTTCCGAAGACGTTGCCAGGAACGTCGCAAATCGAAGTGGTACTTCCTTTGTTCTCTTTTCTGTCACTACTAAAATTGGTTTTCATTATTGAAATCTGAGACCCTTTTTGCGGGACATCGTAGGTATATTGTGCAGGGAATTTATGAACTTTGGGGTGAAGGAAGTTGCTATGAGCAACTTGAAGAGGCGGTGAAAAGCTATCCAGATGAACGGATGTTGCCATATTTGGCGTCTGAAAGTACATTTAAGATTGCTGTTGATAGTTTTGGGAGGGTTAAGAGCCTTCAGGAACAGAATGAACGTATTCGGGGACTCCCATATATCTCTTTCAAGGTTTGGTTCTTAATATGATTTTGTTGATCACGACGTTTGCATTGCGTAACCAATTTCCTTTGGAACAGTAAAAGCCACAATCGGGGCATGTAAGAATTGGTAAAAATAGTTATAGAAAATGTTGTCAAATTTGTTTCTGTCAGTTTTTTTTTTTTTTTCTGTCACATTTGCTAATGGTAACACTAATCAACACGTTTGCACGGTCGAGTTAATTTAAAGAATCCAGATCATAATTTTTGGCTCATGGAAACTGATGACAATGCAACTAATAATGGGCTTCCACCAGTTGTATAAAGGAGAATATTTTTTGGTAGGGAAATTGGTGGAGCAGACAGGAAACTTATACCCACGTATCAATTGAAAAGCCGAACTTATCTTGGCCCAACAGCAATGGATGCAGAAATGGCTTTCTTAATGGCCAATCAAGCAGAGGCTGCGCCTTGGAAACTTGTATATGACCCTTTTGTTGACACAGGGAGTATTCTTGTTTCTGCTTCTTTCATTTTCTTGCTTTTGTCTGACTTATTCATTCACCCAATGCCTTTCTCTTGGAAGTCATATGAGCGACCTCTGTGCAGTAACTTTGGTCTAATGACAACTGCTTGAATTCGTTCAGGGTACAGATATTGACATCAGAGTAGTGCGTGATGGGCTTGCCCCTGACTATAAAGTCTGGAGCAAATTAAAACAGGTGAATGTGCAACATAACAAGCAATTCCTTTTTTTGTTTCATCTACTTGCAATAGATCTGCTTGAGATTGTATGCTCATTTGCTACTTTGTAGTGTGGATTGCCAATGCAAATTGCTTTGTTGAGGGCAGAAAACAACCTTCCTCTTTAGCGTCCTGGATTAAAAGAGGTAATTTCTTGTAAAATTGCTTGCTGTTGAACATGTTAGTGTATTCTTTATTGTTTTGAATTTGATAGGTCTACTTCAATTAACATTTTTTCTTTTGAATTTCTTCAGCTGTTACGATTCCTTATCTCATTCCTCTCGGTATTGTTTTGATTGAAATACACACACACTCATTGCATTAGCTGGTACCTTTGCTTAATTTGCTAAGTCATTGTAATGGAGCATTGGTGTGATCTGAAATAGCCCGAGAAAAGAGGGCCCAATTTTCAAAGCCTCTGAAAAAAAAAATAGTTATTGAGGTACAATTGCAAAGCAACAATTAAATGCCTAGAAAGGATTATTTGAAGTTTTAGAAGAGATCATTGCGGTTTGTTTACTGTCTCCTATTCTGCGTCTTCTTTGATTTTAAGTATTCTTTCTTGCTTTTGCATAGGTGTTTGATGCAATAATTTGTGATCCCTCATTTGGAGTTCGGGCTGGTCACTGGTGGATGCAAGTCTGGTGGCCGAAAATTGCTTAAGGGGGATGTGGGCCCTTAGACTGTTCCCGATGACAAAAGGGCGGACCATATACCATCAACTGCAGCTTATAGCTAAGTGTGTACATGACTTGCTTGACCTTGCTGCTAGGATGCTTGTAATGGGTGGCAGGCTCGAGTGTGTTGAGAGAAGACCTTTTCCCATCCATGTTTCAAGTTGGTTGCCACTTCTGAACTGATATGAACTCAGTACACGAATCATGATACAGTCGCGTTTTACTCACCGTGGTAAAGACATCCTCGTACACTGAGGAACTTGCTCTGGCAGCTAGGATACAACATTTGGAGTTCAAGGAAAATCATGTCAAGTGGTTAGAAGATGGTAATCTTTACTCCTGTTTTCAGTCCAGCAGATACTGAATCAGGTGATTCAAAAGCAAGTAAAGAATCGAAGCCCAAATACAGAGGGAAGTATGTGTAGTCTTGCAGATGTTTTGTGTTCATTAGGAGGCTTATGAACCCTTTTACTTCAATAATGTTGTTACTCATCTGTCATTCATGTTTTTATTCTGAGTGATCGAAGAAATTTTCGTTGTTCTCTTATCAGTGTTATCACGATCGTCAATGATGAAAAGCAGACAAAATGGAGTATTTAAGAATGGAATATCACACCACAAGATCATGTCTTTTTTAAATACTTTAATTTTCTCCAACTTTTTTATAACAATATTAAACACTTAAAAATCTCAAATTATTATTTTTCACGACACTTTTCAAACGTCAGACACCGATATTTTTTAACCACAGCAATGCGTAAAGCATTAGTCTAGAAACACTGCAGTAGGAAATTGGGGTGGGGGCATTTTCTCCCTTGGCACCACCGTGGCTCTGTCCTGGATCTGCGCTATGAACATTGAGTTTCCATTCTTGTACGGACCAAACTCACAAAGTCTTTCGAAGTACGATCTTCTCAACCCGTTCCCCCTAGCAATATCTGCTCGGACATGGCTTGAACGATTTCCGGATGCACCAGTAACTATCACCGTTGTGCTCTCGTCAGCCAAGTTAGCCAAAGTCACTATTGTCTCTGGCTCAGTAGCTGAAGAAGCATCCACCAAAAAGATATAGCTAAAATGTCCAGCAGATATGCCTGCATTATACAGGCGATAGCTACTTATAAAAGTAGAAAATATTACTCGGAACTCCCTTAGTTCCTGGAGTGAAGGGCAACTAAAACAATCAGTTTCTGTTTTGTAAAGACAGGAGGGGAGGATGTCAATAGGAACACCCTCTATCTCCCTGAATGCAGCATTGGCTCTGAACATATCTGACACCGGAATTTCCTTTTTCAAGCTTCTCATTAGCACATCACATGTGCGATTTATAGGCGCACAGACAAGAATTTTAGACCCTGGATGGCGTTGATAAATTTGGAGCACTGCTTCTTTAACAACCAGTCCAGTTCTTGAAAGTTGCTCCATAGGGGATTTAGAATTATCATTGCAAGTTGCACAGAGAGGGCCCTTTACTAAAAAGGGTGGAGGGCCTCCAAAGTTCAAAATATGATGAACTGCTGACTTTTCATCCTGATCAAGATTATGGTTATTAAGCTTAAAAGGCGTTGAGATACGCACGAGATCTCGGGAGACAGAATTAGGGAAAAGGAACTTTTGGAATAAAGGATCAGAAGCAGCTGCAATTGCTTGGTGAGCCCTTTTCAAGCAGACTCTGTTGAATGAGAAACTAATATTATATCTGCAGGTTGAAGCATGCTGAGAATAAAACTCCTCTCCAAATTCAACTAGTACAGTTGTGCTCTTCTCCACCCGATATATAACGCCCTGCAAGAACATAAGAATGTTAATATCGGAGAAAGAAAAGATAAAGATGTTGCACAAAGCCACAAACTGACTGCATATTGAGAAAACGAGAAGACTTTTTAATGCATCAAATCTTGCATTGTGCTATTTGTCCCTATGTCGTATTGATTCTTTACTCTTTATAAGGCTTAATCAGAAAACATCTATTCTAAAGCAATACGAGGAATTCAAGTAAATGAGTGTGAGGGTTGGTCTTCGTCCGCTCTGGTTGAGCTTCTACTATGTGATGGAATCAATGAAACATAAATGTCACTTACATGAAGTAGAAAAGATTGACTCTATCAGCACATCATCAACATAAAATGAATGCAGAATTAGATTAAGTCATGAGGATTCTCAGAAAGGTGGACAAGAAATTTGGTTGCATAGCATGATACTCTTGTTGTTCAGCAAGATATAGAATGAATTCTTTATGAAAGCATCCATCTTAATATTATCAATCTAGACCACACAACAAATGCAAGATGCCAAGATATCATCACTTGATAGACATGCTAGCTAGGATGCAACATTTACTACTAGATGCATTTTAGTTTCAAGCCCATAGGCACCATGCCATCATTTATGAGACACTTATCCAAATGCAGTCTCCTCTACATTGATTAATCAAGACATTAAAGAAAAATAGATAATTTAGTAGCTTAAAGATTATTATAGTATTGGCTATAGAGCTCAAATAGAATCCTTCTTAATCTATAAAAGTCAGATATATTATGGTACATAATAATTCAAGACCAGAGGCAAAACCTGATATGGCTCAATTTTTTTGCCCGAAGGTTGTGCAAAGACAAAGTCCCTTGATAGAAGAAATGGTCGCCTCTCAGGAATAGAATCGACCTCAAACACTACAAAAGTTTTATCATCCATCTTATTTCTTGGTTTTGAGTCCTTATTCCTGCCTGACTTCTGATAGATTGATGCTGAATGCACCTCCAGAGACACATTCACCAACTCATATCCACTCCATTTCTATTTCAGACAAAAGCATTCATTAGTTTCTTGCAATTCATTGATTATGACGCAAAACCATTGTTTCATGATGCTGACCAGAAAATACTCCCATCGCACCATACAGGAGAAGCATAAAACTATGAGATAGATAAGAAGGTTATGAAGTGCAAACTTAAGAATTCAATGTGCAATTGCATTTTGCACTTATTATTCATATATTATTCAAAGTAGTTTATTTGGGATCCATTGGTATGGCCCAATGCAAAATCCTAAATCAGATAGACATGGTCCAATAGGGTCCTATGGAAGAGAAAGAAAATCAACTATTTGTTTTTTTTAGTTTTAACAGAGTCTCTTGATTTAAAAAAGAAAAAAAAAACTCTTGAGAAAAATAATTCTCATCAAACAAAGCAATTCTTAATAATTTGGTTTACTTTTTATCAGCTCCAGCGAAGGACTGTTCCAACCTAAAGTAAGTTTTATCAGAGCACTGTTCCAACCAAAACCATTCTCCCTTTTTCTACATGTTCTTTTTTGCGTGGTCATTACTCTTTTGCAGAATTATTTTACCTTAAGTAAAGTGCCTAACAAGGAATTTTGAGAACATTTAGCCCAATTATAACATATGCCAAAGATCCCTCATGCTTACCTCTAAATGCATTCCACTTGTATAGTCTATGGAGATAGTCTTAGCTTTTCTTTTTTTTTTTTGGGTCATATTTTACCACTCTGGCATCTCATGGAAATTCTCAAATTTAGTCCTTACTAGTTGCTCCATTATAAACAGGTTGGTGTTTTAGGCTGAAAATTCTAAAATAGTCAAAAGACTAATACAACACATTTCTTGTTATTTTGAGCACTTGTAATATATAGATCATAGCTTAATTAAGGACAATATTTTGATCAGTAGATTTAGCCCAGTTAAATGCCACACCAAAAGATTCACTACAAATAAATCAAATGACATAAATCAGACAAAACAAGTTTTTGTGAAGCACCTTAGTTTAAAACAAGAGAGTAGAGACAAATAGAAAAGTGTGATAGAATTGGACGATAAATCTTTCATGGAAGGAAACCATTGTCATTACCTCAATGTAGTAATCTTCAGCATATAGAAGAGCTGTAAAGTAATCCTGGTATGTTGAGGGAGACAAAGGGTTCTTCAGAACTTCAGGCACAATGTCTCTCTTGATCAAGTCCTCAATGTCCTTGGGAATCATGTAAATAGGTAATGTATCCTTTGGATTGGCCCATTTATACTTTCCCTTCCCTTGTTGGTAGGAAAAATTAGAAGGCACCTGCGATAGAGTCGGCTTAAGGGATGGAGTGGGGTTAGAAGAAGATGAAATTGGTGTGGAGAAGGATGAACTTGGTCTAAGAGATGATGAAGATGGCTTAGAAGATGGAGGTGGGTTAGGAGAAGATGTTGGGGGTTTAAAGGATGATGGCGAAGGACTAGGAGGAGACAGAATCAGCTTAGTTGAGGACTGAGGTGGTTTGATTGAAGTTGGAGATGAATTGTTGTCTGTGCCAGAACTCCTAGAATTCTGAGGCCCTTGATAAACCCTTTCCACAGACTTCGGATACAATGATCCAGTTGAAGTTGGTATATTTGTCTCTGAACCTAGAACTACCCCGTATGCAACAGGTACGTCACTTGGCCTGGACTGCCATGTCGACTCATTTCTAGTTGAGTTAATGAGTGATGAACTGAGGGATGAATTTGAGTCATGCTGCGGGTAATTACGATTTCTTGTTGTCGAATATGATTCGTTTAAGGAGAAACTAGGAGTGGAGACCGAGCTAGAAGAAGTGTTATTAGTCCTAGTTCCAAGAAAGTTCCCACACATTTTTCTGCTAGAGGATATATATATATATATATATATATATATATATATATAGAGAGAGAGAGAGAGAGAGAGAGAGAGAGAGAGAGAGAGAGAGAGAGATTGAGAGAAGTGGAAAAAGAAAAAGAAATGAGAACCTTTTAGTCAGTATCTGGTTTTTCCACTTTCTTGATCACCTCGACTGAGAGAAAATCTTTGCTCCCTCCCTTATACTACCATACCAACGTTAACCAATATCCAAAAAGAAACCCAGATTCGAGCTTCGCTTTGATTTCTGGTCTCCCTGACCAATCAAACAGAGGACTTAAAAAAAAAAAGAAAGCAGAAGCAATTCTGGTACATGGAAAATGGAACTGATACCAGATGATAAAACTTGTATAGTAAGCACGATGATCAAACTGGATTGCGAAAAGGAGAGGAATGACCAACAGAGAGGAGGCATACCTTTTCCCCGCTTCTTAAGCAAACAAATGGCGTTAGAATTACGACGAAAAGAGTCAATATTCTCTCTTAACATACTTAAAACCTTTAAGTATAAAAAAAGGGGTTTCAATATTCTCTCTTAACACACTTAAAACTTTACTTACAAGTGAAGAAAAGTGTTTGCGCTGATTTCCGATCTCGGAGTGTTTATGGAAAGGTAAAAGAGAAAGTCGATTAGAGGTGAAGGAACGGTGTGTTTCTAGTATTTGTATTCGATGCGACGTGTAAATAAAAAAGGTTCAGTTATGAAAGTGTAAAAACGAGAGAAAGAGAGTAAAATGGATTTTTTTTTACATTATTTTTGGATAAATATTGGTAAAAAAAATAAAGTTTATATAAAAAAAAGATACATATAATTTTTGTTTGAATAATTAAAATTAATAAAAAAAATTTTTTTATAACTATTGTTTGAATAAAAAGTGAAAAAGAAAAGAAATGATTTATTATATTAATTTTTTTTAATTATCACTTTTAATTACTTATGATTTTAGAATTTTCTTAAATTATAATATGTTTGCTATCTTGTTTAATCTCACAATTGTTGTTATATCAATGGTTTTTAATTAAGTAAAACAAAAAATATTTTATAAATATGCGTTGATAGATTTTGAGCTAATTTGACATCTTATAATTCTAAAAAATATATCTATTCATAGTTAACCATTTATTAAAATTAAATCATCAAAAAATTATAAAAAAATTTTATATTAGAAGAGATATGTGAAATTTACTTGAAAAAATAGATGACTTTAAAAAAATTATAGAATGATTGTAATTTACTTATGTTTTTTATTAAATTTTTAGTATTAATAAAAAGATGAACATAATAGTCTTTTTATAAAAAAAATTGTTTTCAACTTTCCTTTCTTTAGCTTTTCCTTTAAATTGTGGTATTAAAAAAATTGAATTTACAAGAAAAATCAAAGTTTATTTGGTTTCCACATCTTTTCCTTTTTTTAAATTAATAATTTATCAAAACAAGGGAAATGAAATTTTGTTTCCTTTACATTCATTTACTTTACTTTCCTTTCCTTCCTTTCCCTTCAATCTAAACACACTATTACATTATATTTGGATAAATATTAATAAAAAAAAGGAAAGGAAAGAAAAAGAATGAAAAAGAAAGTTTTTTAAAAGAAAAGAAATAATATATGTAACATTTGTTTGAATAATTAAAATTAATAAAGGAAATGAAATGAATTCTAACAATTATTGTTTGGATAAATAGTGAAAAAAATGATTTATTATAATAATTTTTTTCAATTATAACATTTTATTGCCTGTGATTTTAGAGCACTATTGGATCATAATATATTTACTATCTTGTTTGACTTCACAATTGTTGCTATATCAATGATTTTTAATCAAGTAAAACAGGAAGATATTTTTCAAACATGCATTGATGGATTTTGAGTTAATCTATCATGTTATAAACTTAAAAAATATATCTATTTATTCAACCATTCATTCAAATCAAATCCCAAAAAATTATAAAAAAATTTTATATTAGAAGAGATATGTGAAACTTACTGAAAAAAAGATATGACTTTGAAAAAATTATGTAATAATTGTGATCTGTTTACATTTTTTTATTAAATTTTTAGTATTATTAAAAAGATAGACATAATTATCTTTTTATAAAAAAAAAATCAACTTTCCTTTCCCTAACTTTTCTTCTAAATTAAGGTATTAAAAAAATTGAATTTATAAAAGAAATAAAAAATTATTTAGTTTCCATCTCTTTCTCTTTTTTTTAAATTTAATATTTATTCAAATAAGAAAAATGGGTTTTATTTCATTTATATTCTTTTACTTTCCTTTACTTTCCTTCCTCTCCCTTCAATTTAAATATTTTGTTAACGATATCTAACTTTCACATTTATAAGAAAGTTGTGGGGATGATTGATATGATGTTAAGTACGTTATATTAATATAATACATTAGATTTACACAAATAATAAAAATATCTATAATTATATGCTAAAGATTTTATAGAAAAAAATTATTTTATCCTTTTTACCATCAAATGTCTACAGTATAATTTCAGTCCGCAGCGTTTGTTCTAGTGTCGACAGGCTTTTTCTTGGGAACTTAGCATGCAGCTCGAGTAAAAATTCCTGCAGGATAAGGCAGCATATTTTCACTGGTGATGGAGTTGCTTCTCATGCGTACACAAGTTCAAAGTATGCCATCATAGGACTAACCAAGAACGCGGCAGCAGAGCTTGGGAGGTTTGCGATTCGACTCAACTGCTTATCACCTTCGTATTTATTCTAATTTGAAAGCGGTTGTTCTCCAACAAGATGTTGCTGAAGCTGCGCTATACCTGGATGGTGATGACTCCAAGAATGCGACTGGGCAGGGGCATCTTCCCATTCTAATCTGAAAGTAATGCTTGTAAAGCGGCCGCCCTAGATATTAGACTGCTTGCAAGGGCCAAACAACTGCAAAATATAGTAATATTTCAAGAGTCCTTTTGTTTTTCATTTGATTATTCACTTTTTCTGCTAACAAAGTTTTCTTGGAATCGCGCATGCCTTGCCCAAAGCCATGAAAGAACACGAGATTCATTCTTTTTTTTTTCCTACTACATTGTATCAAAATTGTTTTCTCATATTGTACATGTAAATCCTCTCAAACTAATGAAAGGTGGAAGGATACAATTTATGGACAATGAGAAGAAAAATAGAGCCAAGAAAAAGTGACCAACAGCCTATCTGCAATCAGCCAAGTACACGATTAAAATACAGGTATTTCGTGGTGAAGTTCTTGGTGCAAGGCAGGTACTATCTGCCATCAGCACCAACAGCCTCATGAATAGATTTGAAACCATCCCTTTCTAGGCACTCAGCAAGTTCAGCCTCCAAAAACAGCACAATCACAATAAGCGAAACCAAATATTTAACAAAAGCAATAACTCATCCAGTTGAGCATTGGCCCTAGACCTACCGACAAACTTAATAAGATAACCCCAAGCTAACAGCTGCATTCCTAGAATCAGAGACATCCCAAGAGTGTGTATGTTAAATTCGAAATCAGAGACACAAGAATTTGCGGGATTATGATATATCACAATGAAACGAAATAGTTACAGATCCTAATAACAAAGTGGTCAAGCAAGATAGATTTGTCATCCAAACAACAATTTATAACGTTTAACATCCTTTACGATGTGAAGCAGAAAGAAAATAAATATAGAACTCGGAAAGTTAAAGGAGAGTACCTTTATTTGGGGAATTAAGGCAGGGCCTCCGTATGCAAATGCAGTATAAAGCTGAACGAGGGTTGCTCCAACGATTATTTTTTTGTATGCATCCTCACCACTGAATTGAATGTGTAATTCAAATTAATGATGGAAATATAAATAAAAGTAACAATAACAGCAATGATGATGGTGAAGACGGTGACAGAGACATAATCTAGATGATAAGATCAATGGTAATGATTAATAAGTATCCTGACTTTTCCTGCTAATACCACCACACCCTATTAAAGGGATCTTTCCCTGGCAAAGAAGAATGCAGGTGAGCTTTATAAATAAGATGTATACTGTAAGAACTTTGCAAGCAATACAGCAATAAAATTCAAACAGAAATCAGGAACAGGTAAAGTATCTGAAATCTGAATGCTTTACAATTTGATTTCAAAAGATAGAGATCTAAGAAACAGCAAGAAACCATTAAAAGCCAATAATAAGGCCAGCTGCAGACCTTGCTGTTGAAAGCCATCAAACTTTAAACACCTGTGAACATGCCAGCTCCATCATCCTAACATCCAAATACAGAGTATACCCCAGGACAAAGACAAACCACATAATCACAAATTATAATGACCTCAAGAGTAAATACTTGAAGCATCTTGAAATGTCCAAGTCCAATAAGATAGTGAAACGGGGAAAATATATACAGTTCCAATACAGCATACAACAGCACTGAGTTACATGTCAAGCAGTAACAAGGCCAACATCCATCTCAATACCCCAAGACAAACAATACATATCTCCCGCTCAAAAGATTCCATGCAACTTGAACCATCAACTATATAATGTAGAAAGTAACATAGGCCAAATTATAAAACAATACCCTGAGGTTTTATAAAATTAAACTTCCTTCTCTGTACTTTCGAGAGGCAACACACTTCCACCTTGATGTTTGTTTGCCAACACCTTTTTGGCTTTACTGCATGTTTTATATGTTAGGCTGCGATAAAGGAGAGGAGTGTGGTTGTAGGGTTTTTAAAAAAGAAAGGCAGAAGATGCTGACCATTTCAACACACTAAATACAAAACATGTTTAGAAATAGAAGATATGACAATTTCAAGATCAAGACTGTAAATAAAAAACATATTTAGAATTAGACGATTTGACCATGAAAAGCCAACGGCTTCAATACTAGATTAGAATTTTTTTATAAAGAATAGACAACATACACGTGTTAGAACACACATCTCCTTTAAGATGTTAGTAGACAAATTAAAGAGAGGTTTCCCACTTAAGCCACCAGATTCTGCGGAGTGGATTTTTATTTACAGGATCTGGTCTTGAAATGGTTGTGTTTGATATGATCTGGAAAGCAGAAATAGGTTAAAATCAGGGAAAACACATAATAGCAAGAGAAATAAAAATTATGTGCAATTTAAGTTACTATTTACTCTGTATCTTATAATAGAAAGAATGAAGTAAACAAAAACGATACTATGAAATCAACAGCTTCTTAAACCAAACTGTGATTAACATGTAGACAGCCATGAATTTCATCACAATGTTCTTTTATTGCACCTAGAAAAAAAAAAAAAAACCTGAACATTACTTTAAGAAAATACAGCTGTCTTTACAGATAAATGCAAGGGCTAGAATACAAATTGTTTCATTAGTGCAAAATGTAAGTGAGAACAAAATTGTCATATCAATGCAAATTATAAAAGCATATGAGTAAGAAAAATGACTTAAACACACCATTGAGCCAGAAACTTCAAATCACATAAGAACATGGACAAGAAATATAGGAAATTTCCAATGGGAAGAAAAATACCAATCCATCCAAGCAGAGGGCAACAGCAACCTACAATCAAAGAAAAGAAATAATAAGAACATAATAAGGTAAGCAATGAAGTAGTGTCCAAATGCAAGTAGAGCGTATGGCTGCTATATCCTCAAGGTCTTCTTTAGACAAGTCTGGAGCAATTTTAACAAGCAGTGGAGGAGGAGCCTCCTCACCCCATTGCATTTCATTATGAGCAACTTGAACCTTCGATGAAAAGATGAAAAAGCAAAGCAAAATTGAGAAGGGTGAAGTTCTGCTCTGATATATCACAAGAAGAAAGATTAAGTTCACAGATAGAGATCGATACCTTCTTAACAAGGTTCTTCAACTGTTTCCTTCCTTGAACCATACGCAATCCAGGAGTATTTGGAGATGAAACATTAATAAACTAAGAAAGTTGTGGAAAGGAGATGGCATCTAAACAATCAAATTCAAGAAAACCTCAAAGAAAACTTCTCAAAGTAATAACATATAAATTAAAAAAAGGGGGGGGGGGGTAAATCACAAAGCCCCTGAGGCTATACTTATATCAAAATCATATTTCTATTTTAAAAAATATGCACCTATCCCCCTTCGGAAAGAAGCAAGCAAAAGAAATTACAGGGAAGAAAATCATGCTAAACGGCCATTTTAAATACTATAATCGATTCTATCATTTATTGTGTGAAAATTTTGTACTCCATGGAAAGAAATGAATTAACTCAAATAAAGAATATATAACTACCAAGTAATCAGCATACTGGGATAATGTGTGAACTCCTTGTACATAGTCAGCAGTAGCATCTTCACTTGTCCTATTCTTTCGAAGATTGACTCCTAGAATTCCAGGACCAGCTTTGCCCCCATGTTTAGCTTCCTCACTCGAGGGTGATAAAGAACTCGAAGTCTCCAACTTCGTCTTACCATGCTGGGTACCCAATCGCTTTGCAACAGCAACAATTCCTTCACTATTGAACCCACAGCAGTTGATGATAGCACTGACCAACAAATCAAGTCAGATAAGATAGAAAAACTTGAATTCCAAGCAACGTGAGTTCAAGCAATCAAATCTCTTTGGCAAAATCACAAGAAAGCATTGCCTTACTCATGCCCACGCCACAAAACAGGTAAGTTCACATTTCAAAGAAATGGTAGAAAGGAAGAATTCGGTCTCACCTTCTTGTCGCAATCTAAAGATGCGTGGCTTTGGATTACCCTCTTGTGGAAGAGGGGTTACCGATCCAACTTCCATTCGTACTTTAAAGAGATTAATGTTCTTGTTTGGAGGTGCATACTTTTCTGTTTCTAACAATTTGTACTTAATGAATTTCTGAATGCTTTGTGATGTTAAATGAGAAGTTATGTTGGTTGGATTGCAACACCATAGGCCTTTCCCACCTTTGCGCACTGTATCTTACTGAACTGATCATATTGATAGGTGATTTGGACCTGGAAGTTTGAAGTGATGGAGGTTACAAACCGACCCTGGCTTACTGGTACTACACCTTGTCAACTTGAGACCACAAGAGCCATTATAAATTTAGAAGAGCACAGTATATGTTGTTTGATTTCCTTGTATCTGATTGATCTTTTTGTTTTCTAGTATTGTAGGAAAGAGAATCCATTTCAATATATGATTAAGTATGTTGGAAGAAGTTTGGGAGAGGTGTTTTATTCTTAATTACTAGTGATAACAGAAAATCTAGACTGAGAGAAGTATTCTCATCAGATTAATGCAAGTATGGAGCTCCAGTCGGAGGAGGTGTTGAGAGGGTATTTTCTCTGAATCACTGATGATATAACCTTGTAAAATTTAGAATGGAGGTTTGAGGCAGTATGGCACCATGATAAATACTGGTTGACTTGGTCCTCTGTGCTGCTGCTTGTGAAAAAGGTGAGATGCTTGGTCCTGAAAACCTTGGTGTGAGTTGTGAAGACTTGGCTTCAGATATTCAGCTTATAGTTGTATTGTAATCTTATTTTTATAAACAAAGTCTTTATATCTACTTTTGTTTTTTTATTGTTTATTTCATATTTTAAAGCCCATACCGTGAATCTCTGGTTATTTGCTGGTATTTGTTAGGCTTTGTATACCTTGTTGTTGACCGGTTTTTAGTAACTTATACAAAATCACATCGATATTAAGCATCGTAAACATGGAATCAACTTCAGAAAATAATTATATTTGTAAAAATCAAGTTTATAATCATAGTTTGCATGTAGATCCTAAGTTTGAATCAATAATATGTCAATAAATGGAGCTGTAAATGGTTTGATTAATCTTTCTTCTTCTTTTTTCTCTAAGTTATTTGTAAAAATGGATAATATAGAAGATAAATTAGATTTGCTTGTAGAAAAGATGGACCAAAGACAAGTTATTCCAGACACATCTACAGACTTTGAACCTTTTTACTATGGTAATATTATGATGGTCGATGATAAACATTCATCTTCCTCAGCAAAGGCGAAACAAGAAAAACTTGACTTTGACTCCTCTAAATATTTAATTGAAAATTTTAAGTATAAAATGGAAAAAACTGAAGATCCGAAACAACGGGTCGACTATCTTCAAACTATAGAAACCCTTAATGAAGAACATAAAGGACTTTTTCAAAAATATAATTATCATTATATGTTTAATTATGACACAATCAGTGTTAGTAGTAAAGAAGCAAATATTGAATAGTAGAATATAATTTTGAAATTCTTGCTACTAAACCAATAGCAAAGAATGAACAAGCTTCATCATATGATACTTCTAGTGCTGATGATCAAATAAATCTAAAACCTCAAGTCCCTATTTTGCAACCAGTGGATAAAGCAAAAAAAAAGTATCAAAATATTTAATCCAAATATTGATGATATTTTACGTTTTCTAGATTTGCAAAATCCAGATCTTGTAGAACAACATTTACCTAGTTTAAAAAATATATATTCTCACCTAAAAAAGGATGAGATAAAACAAATTTCAGAATCTGGCCAAACTAGTCAAATAAAACCAGAAGTTTCTATAATCGATTCGTTAAACAAACGAACAGTTGCTCAAGGTGGTACATATTTAGATTTAACCCGTGTTTCTGTCAAAGACTATGAAAAAACCATTAATGATTGGGCACAATCTATAGCTATTGTTGTCACAGGTTACAAAGATCAATGGAATAAAAAAAGATTCCTTAACTACTTTTGTGGCACATGGCAAGGTGATGTCCTTCAATTTCTCAAAAAATGGGAAGAAACAACTCTGGGAAACATTCAGAAAAACTCGCTTCTTGCAGCAGGCAACATACCTCAGCTTTTAAAAGATCTAACCCAGATTTTGAAAAATAAGTTTTGCGAGAATACAGAATCTTTAGATCAGAATCAAAAAGCATAAATTTTTTTTTCAAAATTAAAATTATGTGATATTAGAAATCTTGATGATTTCTCTAAAAGATATATTTTTGAATATCAAAAATTGGATAAAGAACATTCAAAATTTTGGTTACAATAATTTTTCTTAAAACTTCCCTCACCATAGGATGAGTTTTGTTCTCAAAATTACAATACTTATTTAGAAATTAAATTAAATCTTCTAACGCTATAAATCTAAACATAGAACTCTATGATACTTTTGGTTGTAGAATACACTACGTTCAGAGTTAAATTACAGAGCATTACCTCAAGCAAAAAGCTACTAAATAGGTAAAATCTAAACTTAGTTGCAAACAGTGTACTAAGATTTTAGAAAATGATTTAGAATTTGGTTGAAACAAACATTATATTCCTAGAAAAACTCGTTTTAAGAAAAAACAAAAATATTTTTGAAAAAAATGGAAACCTGAAAAAGTTGGTAAATCTACCAAGCCTAAAAAAGACAAATTTGTTGTTAAAAAGAAAAAAAATCTTCTAAACAAACTTGTAAATATTTTATTTGTGATCAAGAAGGTCACTATACAGATAGCTACCCTAACAAACGAAAAAATGCTAAAAAAATTATTAAAAAACTTGAAGAATGTTATTTTCAAATTTTTTTTGCCAATGAGTTATCAGATGATGAGATATATTATGAAGTCTTATCTAAAACTGATTATAGTTCCTCTTATGATGAGTCTGAATGTATTTTTATGATGAATACAGAATCTAACTAAGATAATGTTTCAATTATTTCTTCTACAAGTACAAACATTACAACAGAAAAACGTATAGTTAAACTAAAAAATGTGATGAGAAAAACTCATCATATTTCTAAAGAGAAAATCAAAGAATTACAACTCATCAAACCAAATGAGATTTACAAAACAAGTTGGTTTAAAAAATTTCAACCTTGGTTTAAATGCCATATAAAAAAACTATCTGGTGACACAGTTGCCAATGATTCTAAAACAGGATCAATGGAAATACCTCTTTTTACCAAACAGAAAATGAACCATTTTTTACGAAAATACCCTCAGGTTAAATATATACATATTGGTATGATTTAATTACCTATAAACAACTATTTCTTGCTTGCAAAGATATACCTATAATTGCTGTTTTAATGGACAATCGTTTTAAAAACCCTGCTAATGCTATAATTGGAGGGATCTAATCCAATTTAGCTACTGGTGTTGTTTTATTTAAAGTTAAACCAAACTATTTTATTTCAATTTTTTATGAAAATATTGAATAATGTTTATGTCTTCGTATCAAGATAATAAAATCTGATATTGAAGAAAAATCGCATGATCTTTCAATCAACTGGCCTGCAATTTATGAGTTTACAAATACTACAAATATTTCTATTAAACTGATAGACTTTAATATTATTGAACTTTTTGAACCAAATAGTTTTGATTTTGAAATTAAACCAAAATTAGTCAAACTCGAAGACTTATCTGTCCCACAAGGATGGTGTCTCGAAGATATTTTAGAAAATACCTCTGAAAAACAAAAGATACCAAGTCTAGAATTTTTCTCATTAGGAAAAAACTTTTATTTTAAAAACCCTCAAACTTTAACCAATTTTAATCCAAACCTGGTTTTACCCCTTACTAATATTTTTTTATCATAAAAGAAATGATGATATTGAAAGTATATCTAGTAATCAATCTTTTTATACTCTTCTCAGAAGTTCTTTTTCAAGATTTCATAGTACAAACAGTGCAAAAAAATCTACAACGAGTAAACAGTATAAGCCATATAGGTAATTCTCAAATTCTTATATTTGCAGGAGATAATATATCTCAGCAAAATACAGGTGATAATCAATCCTATTATTATTCTGTTAATTCTATTTTAAATTCTCATACTTTTTTCTCTAGAACACCTAGAAATGAAGAAATAAAAATGTTTCATTTTATAAATAATTTTTGATTATTTGCACCTGAAACAATTTTATTCTCCAACAAGGATAGATATTATACTTTTGTGAAAGGTGATTTTCGCTTTCAGGATTATAAGCCATATAGTCTATATGTATTACTCGACACTGGAGCAATAATTTCAAGCTATCGCAATAATGCTTTACCCATAAATAAATGGCAACCAATGAAGCATCCTATCATCATAGTAGGTATAGATGGTAAGGAAACTATTGTTGGTTATAAAGCAAAAAATATTCCTATCTATTTTAATAATGTTATATTCATAATACCAAAAATATTATGTTTTCCTAACATGTATGGAGATATATTATTAGGAAATAATTTCTTATGAACTTATGTTCCATTTTCTATCTCCAATACTCATGTTACCCTTACAATTGATAAAAAATCAATTGAAATTCCTTTATTACAAGAACATGAGCATATTTGTGACAAAAATTTTCAACCAGAAATATTAACAAATGCTATAAAAGTAATCAATGAAAAATATTGGCTTTATAAGATTTTGCAGGAAAACTTCAGTGAACAACCATTGAAGCTTTGACAAAGAAGTCCAAGATACTGCAAGCTTACTCTTTACAATCCAAAAGAGATTGATTATAAGAGTAAAGCCCATAATTTATACCAAACAAAACATAGATGAATTTGAAATTCAGATTTCAAAACTGCTAAACAAAGGCTTGATAGAACCAACTACCAGTCCACATTCTATCCCAGCATTCATGGTAAGAAACCATTCAAAGATCAAACAAGGTAAACCCCGTATGGTTATCAATTATAAGAAATTAAATCAAAATCTTGTATTTGATGGCTATTTTATCCCTCATAAAGATGTTTTAATAAATTTAACAAAAAATGCTAAATATTTTTTAAAATTTGATTGTAAATTCGATTTTTGGCAAATCATGCTTAAACTTGAATCTAAACTTTTAACTGCTTTTAGTGCACCAATAGGCCATTACCAATGGACTGTTATGCCTTTCGGTCTATGCAATATACCACAAATATTTCAACAATGGATGGACACTATTTTTAGCAAACATAACCAATTTTACAGTGTATATATTGATGATATACTTGTTTTCTCTAATACAATAGATGAGCACAGGAAACACCTGACTATTATTGCTCAAGAATTTATTTTACATGGTATTATTTTAAATCCCAGAAAGGTTGAACTTGAAAAAATAAAAATTAAATTTCTTGGTCTCAATCTATCTATTAA